AATCCACAGTCACATGAAATCAGTGACAGGTTGACACCGTTATTTCAAGATTCATCGCTCCGCGTTGCCAGCATAGGAAGCCCGGCCAACTCCTTCCCACCAACAACACTTTTTTTTCCAGGCATAATTTATAGCCAGGGGGTGAATTTGTTTCCAAAAGATGAATATCACACTATCAGCAACAGCTGTCTCTCATTTTTATTTGTTTTTAAATTTGACTCAAAGTCCAATTCTCTACACACCCCCGAAGCTGTAAATCCTAAGGCGGCTGATTACACGATTTAGTAAACAGGTTACATTATATAATGCAATTAAAGTGGGCTCCGCGGCGCCACCTACAGGCCGCCCATGGGAAGGGCCTGGGCCGGAGACCATCCTTCTGGACCAAGCTCTCTGGGCTGAAGGAAAATAAACCGACTGCGCCAGGTTGAGGCAGTTACTCCGGAGGGAGAAGTTGAAGCCAGCCTGGTTACTAATGCAACCTTTTGGGCCCTCCTGCTGAGTTCATTGTGTTATTTCAGCCTCCTGCAAATCTGTCTAGACGTCAGAACCCAGCCTGGGCAGCTGGTCCAGGGGCCAGCCGCAGGGTGGGGGTTGGGGAGTGAGGGAGCAGTGGTACCCCACCTTGGGGCTGAGAGGGCTCCAGTTCCCCTGCCTCAGGGGCCTCCTTCTCTCACTTTCAAGCTGCAAACCAACAGTCTCCCATTCCATTCAGCTAACCTTGCATTCAGGGCTGACTGTGGGCAAAGACTTCCAGAACATTCTGGTGAGATCCCTCACTTTGCAGTCCGAGAGGGAGATTGACTTGTACAGGCCATAAGGAAATGGGGGAGCTGGGTGTGGATCCAGACATTCTGACCCTAAGCACAGGCCCAGATCATGAGAGTTCACAGGTGAGGAAACTGAGGCCCAGACAGGGAATGGGACTTCTACAACCTCTACATGTAGGAAGGGAAGGAGAATAATGAAAACACGGCTGGTGGATCGGAGGGCAGAAAAGAAGGGCTTCTCTGGGGCCCTGGGCAGTGCCTCCTAGTGCCATGCTGGGAGGGAAGGCAAGAAAGGAGGGAGGGAGAGAGAGAGAAAAGGGAGAGGAGGAAGGAAGGCAGGAAAGGGGGAGGGAGGGAAGTCAGGTGGCCTAGGCCCACTATTCCCTGCCCCATCCCTCTGCCCTAAACTATATTCTTCTTTAAAAAATATATATATTTTATTGATTTTTTACAGTGAGGAGGAGAGAGGGATAGAGAGCTAGAAACGTCGATGAGAGAGAAACATCGACCAGCTGCCTCTTGCACTCCCCTACCGGGGATGTGCCCGCAACCAATGTACATGCCCTTGACCGGAATCAAACTTGGGACCTTTCAGTCCGCAGACCGACGCTCTATCCACTGAGCCAAACCGGTTTCGGCGCTAAACTATTGTATATTCTTTAGATGAATTAGACTCCATGACGTCAAGGATGGTAGCTTTCCCAATGAGTTTGGTAAGAATGAGTCACCTAACAGAAAGGAGAGAGGACTTACTTCTTTGGGAATAAGAAACTGGACCAGCAGGGGATGGAGGGTGGACAGTGGATGGAGAAAACACCCCTTTCAGAGTCTGAGAAGGTGGCAGGACCCCCAACTTGTCCTCGAGCCCTGGTCGGTCTGGGGCCATGAGGTGGGACAGTGGAGAGCCGAAGGGAAGTAGTCCCTTCCTTCCCTCTCCCGCTGTAGGATGGTGGGTCCTCCTAGCTAAGGTCCCAGCTAGGGCAGATGCCTCAGGGGCCAGCTGGCCAGAGAGTCCCCAATTAGGCTTTCTCATCCTTCAGGCCCTGAGCCCCCAACCCCAGCACCCCCCCCCCCAATTACTGGGCAGCATTAACCCCTTGGTGCCCCCGGGCCGTTAATGGAATGTTAATTGGCCTAATAGGTTTCATGTCAACAAGTCCTAATGAGCTCCTTCCTAACGAGCTGGGTCTTTCTGTGTCTAAGCCTGTTTGTCAACACGGCGTTTGGGCTCCTGACTAAGGGCCTCCCCCCCACCCCCCCACCCCCTGCAGGGCTGGGGGAGCTAGAGAGTCAAGTCCGGGAGGCAGAGAGCTGCCCGTATCTACCTCCTAAAGGGGTGTCCTTCCACGCCCCTCACCCACCCAGCCCAGGCACACTGCCTCTCGGGGTCCTGGGTTTGGAAAATGGCATTTGTAGCTCTTTTTCTGACGATAATAATTCAGTGACATGAACTTTTTCTTCTTGGCTATCACGTGGGGCCGAGTGCCGCGCGAGGCTACCTCCCGAGGCGAGCCTCCCGGCGGTAGGACGCTGCCCTGTGGAGAACTGCGCCTGGCGTGTCCTCCATCTGCAGTCTTGGCCCTGCTCCCTCGAGTGCCCTGGTGTTTGGTAACAGCGCTGGGGCCTCTGGACAGGGCGCGTGGCTCTCCCAGCCCAACAGACGCTCAGAAGACCGGGCTGGGCGGCCTCAGGCCAGCTGCTTCCCTTCCCCCTCCCAGAGGGTGGGTTCCCCAGAGGCCCCGACATCCAGATGTTGCCCAAGGAGCTCCCACACCCCAGCTGTGAGGCCCTGGCACCAAAAGGCAGGCCCCGACATCCCTCTCCAGGTGGTCCCGCTTAGCCCTCCCCCCCCCCCCCGATAGCCCCAGGCCTGGCCAGCAGGCTGTCCCTGGGACGGGCAGTGTCTGTGTGGTGGGGGCCAGTGAAGAAGAGAAGGTGGCACCATCTCCTGTCCCCCTCACTCAGGTTACCAGGGCGCTGCGCCTGAGTGAGCAGAGAGGGAAACTTAAGCCCCTGATGAAAAGGCCTTCTGTTCTCTCGCAGGAGAAGCCCAGAGTTCAATGGGGCAGTGGTCTAGTGGCCTGTGGTGACCCCAGAGAGGGGGAGGGGAAGGAGGAGGGGCAAAGGCCATCTGCATCCTCGGGACAGTTTTCCTGTGTCCTCCGAGGCAGGGCTGGCTCCTGCTCCACGGCCTGGCAGCCTCTGGACTGGGCAGTCTCCACTCAGCCTGACCGTGGTTGTTTGTGGGAGCAGATCACCCGTAACCACCCCTCCTTACCCCAAGGCAGGGCAGCCCTCAAACTGTGTGAATATTTCTAGGGACAGCGGACCTGACTTCCCATTCACTGGACAGTGAACAAAAGAATCAGATTAAAAGGTTCTCTCTTTAGCCCAAATCCTCCTCAATGCACTTCCTTCGCTATGACTTTTTCATCCAGGAATAGTTGCCCCTAAAACTGCCTGTTGAGCTCTCACCCCAGATTCTGCCCCCAGACTCCCTCTGCTGGAGGCTACTGGCACTGCAGCCCACAGAGGCACACTTTCTTCCAGCAAAGCAGCATCTGAAATTGGTGTTCCCGGAAGGACTCCGCCTTTGCCTTTGGGACCACAGATCCATCAAAATGTACCTCATCTTCCAGAGTTCCAGGAAAGGCTGAACCTCCTCCCCGCCCCCCAATCCATATTCCTTTATTCCCTCAGGGTCCAAAGAGAGCTTCCACACCCTCCAGCACCGCTCCCGCACACAGCTGACATTTAGCAGCATTGTTTGAATGAATACCTGGGTTTCCAGTGCTTTCCCACATGCACTTAAGGTCAAAGCATGCCTTCAGAGACAGGTCAGCCAGAACTGATAGTTCCTCCTCTTCCTGGAAAAGAACCAATGCACACACATGTACTCACGCATGTACACAAATGCACATGCATACACATGCATGCCACATAGCACCCTAGAGACCTTCCTCTTTACTTAGGCAGCTCCAGAACACCCTCACATCCCCCCAGAATTCAGGCATGGGACAGTTTTGGAGGCCCTGGGGAGGGGGGCTCAGGAGAGGAGGAGAAGAGAAGGATGTCTGAGGTTGTGCCCACAAACATCTTTAGCCATCAGCACCCTCCACCTGGGTTTCTTGCCTCACAGCGACATGCCTGTGGTTTCTAGCTCTAAATATTTCAGGGCATCTTCTGAGCTACACAGCTCTCTGGACATCCTGTTACCCTGGGTGGCACTGCCCGGCTAGGCTGTCTCCCCTTACGGCAGCTGCTTCTGGTTCAAGAAGAAAACTTGAGGCCCAGTGGGGTCAGCTTGCTTGTCATTGTGGGGTGGGGGTCAGGGACACAGTAGAGCAGACCAGGAACTGGGAATCTGGAAACTCGGGTCCCCTTCCTGTTCGCTAGCACCCAGCACCCCAAACACACACCTCACTCCTCTTGGCCTCCATCTCCTCGGCTGTAAGAAGGGGGATGGCCATTGGGCTCTGACTCTGTGTTGAATGAAGCCCAAGGAAAGTCTCCCTTCCTAGAATGGGCAGGCACCTCTGTAAGCCCTGAAACACACACACACACACACACACACACACACACAGAAAAACCCACAGGTAATAGGCACACACATACACACCTAGAAAAACCCACAGGTGATAGGTACACACACACACACACACACACACCTAGAAAACACACACACACACACACACACACACACACACACACACACACGTTGCTTCCTCCACCCTCCTAAGGGAACCAGAGCCCCACGTCCTTTCCCACCACTAGGGGGTGTGGTGAGCACACCCGGGAGCAGGAGCCAGCAGAGAGGTGGGAACTGGAGTTGGAAGGGCAGAGGCCTGAGGCCTCCCTGCCCTGGCAGTGCAGGTGGCTGCTCTGAAGGCCTGGGAGAGGGAACGCACCTTGTCTTGTGGGCACCCGAACAGCCCCACTCCCCCTGTGCTGCCACCAGCCAAGCCTCTGTCCCCTCCCCTTGCTCCCTTCAAGCCTCAACCCCAGCTGATGCTGAGATAAGCATGGCTCTTACAGGTTATTTTACATCTGATTTGAATATTGTTTCTTTCAAGTCAAATCTCTCAGCAAGCCCCTCCCAGGCCTCTCCTGGGCTTTCACCCTTGCAGTGTCTGGTCAGTCCAGGTGGCCCAGCCTGAGGAGATGCCCACCGCTGGTTCCCGGGCTCCCTGTGCTCAGTATTAACGTGTGGCCCCCTTTCTCCTGCCACAGATCCTTGATGTGAATCAATCCCATGATGCAACATGCCTCCCCAGCCCCAGCTCTGACGATGATGGCCACGCAAAATGTCCCTCCCCCACCCTACCAGGACAGTCCACAGGTGAGTGTCCACCAACCGATGGGAGGGGTGCGTGCCTTCCAGGGGCCGAGGGCAGGGCCTGGTGGGTCTGCGCTCTTCCCTGGCCAGCCTGGGGAGGCCTCGCTGGAGAGAGCTTGGCAGACACTGGAAGGGAGGTCATTGCATTTAACAGATACGGGGTCAGCTCTTACTCCCCACTCACAGCAGACAGCAGACAAATGCTCCAAACCAGGAATATTTGGTAAACTGAGCCTGCCTTTGAGTGTTTGGGGAAACTTTTAAATTAGAGGCCCTTTTAGACCAGCACCTAGTCATGATCACCGGAGCCCCTATGTCCACCTTCTCTGTCTGCCCATTGGAGGAATTTCCCTTCTCTTCAGGATGTGCTCCGCTTCTGTCTCTCTACGCCCTGCAACCCTTCCCTCTGCTTGCATTCCCCAGGGGCCTCGGAGACTCCAGCTTCTCCTCCTGGTCTCTTCGTCCCTCTTTGGCTCCCGGAAGCCTGGCCCAGCTTCCTGGTTGGGCTCCTGTAGGCCTTGCCCTGATCGCTTCTAACCTTTGCCCCCCCCCCCCGGTTTCTCCCACACCTCATTCTCCGAGGCTCTGAGTTAGCCACGATGCTGCGCTTCCACAGCAGCCTCCAATCTCTGACCGTGACCTTCACACTGTCCTGTTCTCTCTAGCCTGGTCTCACAAGTCAACATCAATTTGATAATTATTTATCGTATGTCTGTCATGTGAAATGCAGCCGGCTAGAACATTCATTCATTCATGGAGCAAATGTGTCGTGAGTGCCTATTGTGTGCCAGGCAGCATTTCCCACTCCTTCCCGTCGTTGCCCTGCCCTGGTATCCCTGCATCAGACACCTCAAACACAGCCGTCCTCGTGGACAGCCCAGGGCTGGGCAGCATGAAGGGATTAGGGTGCAGACACAGGGCAGGCCCTGGCTCCCCCAGTTTAGCGTGAGCTCTAGCAGTTACACTAGCCATCCTGGTATCCCCCGGAAACTGCGCTTTGCAGGGTGTCTAGCAAGCCGGCCACCACTGACTCCTCTGCCTGCAAAAATGCAAGAGCACTGGGCATTCACCAGCCGGCCAGGACGTGTCCTCTGTCCCCACCCTGCCCCCACGCATAGACTCCATGCTCCTTCCTAGTCTCCCTGCCCTGCACTCATACCCAGCAAGCACTGGGCCCACGGCAGTAGCTTTTCGTGAATGACTGCAGGCTGGCCTTGGCATTGACACAGATTGCTGTGTGAATGCTTCCGGGTGAGCCACAGTCGGCCCTTTCCCTCTGCAGAGTGAGTGGGAAGCAGGAGGCTTGGACTAGGGGAGCCCTGGGAACCAGGCCTGCAATGGGGACAACATTCTTCTTCTCGGTAGACACAGGCATTGCTGGGGCCGGGGTGTTGGTAAAGAGCAGGAATTTGGGGTGTTCCTTTACTGTCTGGAGGCTGCTCTCCAAGGGCCACAGTAGCAACGGGCATGGCAATGGGGCACTTCCTGTGCTTAGCAGGTGGTGGGCACAAAGGTCCTCTCCACCATGCCCAAGGCTCAGGGGCTGACTGGGGTGGGCCAGGAGGTCCAGGGCACTGCATTGGCAGCTGGCAGCAGCTGCCTCTCCCCAGCCTGTTTTGCTGCCCCGGCAGCTGGGCGAAGTTAGGGTTTGGTGGGGATTAGCAGGAGGGCTGCAGGAAGGGCCTGTGCTGCCCAAGAATGCTGATCCGAGAGTAGTTAAGTAGAGGAGCCTCAGCACAGAGCGGAGCTTAACAAATCCCAGTTGCTGGCGGAGGGGGTGGGGGTGGGGCAGCGGCCCTGAGGCGCTCTGGAAGCCACCAACGGAGCAGGTGTAGCCTTTTGGGTGAGAAATTGAAGCTCCAATTCCCCAACAGGGACTGTCCCCGGGCTATGGCCTCTGAGGAGTCACCAGTACTTCACCATTAAACTACTCTCAGAGAGGTAGGAAGGGAGGGAGGAAGTAAGGGAGAGAGGAAGGAATGGAGGAAAGAAGGAAGGAAGGAAGGAAGGAAGGAAGGAAGGAAGGAAGGAAGGAAGGAAGGAAGGAAGGAGGATAATTTGCCTGGGGAAGCCACACACCTCTTTGTGACCTCAGAGATCCAGGGCTGAAGAATCTGGTGGGAAAGCACAGCATCCATAGTAGAGACTAGGCCAAGGTCTGGTGTCTTTATGGCCTTGGCTGGGCCACTGGGCTATAGCGAGATTACCATGGGCTTCCCTGGGCTGGGCTGGTTCCCAAGGAAACCATCAGGATGTGTGTGTGTGTGGGGGGGGGGGATCGTGTGAGGAGTTAGGGCAGCAGTGGAGTAGGTGGGAGGGCAGAGGGGTTGAGGTCGCCAGAACCTGGGCTCATGGGGCACAGAGTCTATGAGGAGTGCTAAACGTTGAGGCCAGTTGGCTTTTGGGGGGCCCTCCTCCCCACTCTCGGGGCTGCTGAGCGTGGCTTGCCCATAGGAATGTCTTCCATGTGGGTTTCCTGCGGGGAACTTGCTCTGGTCCCCCTGCCTTCTTCCCACCAGGATTGCAGAAGGCCGATCCTGCTTCTCGGGGGAGGCCCTGCCGCCCTGCCCCGCGGTGCTCATTCTCTGCGAACGCCAGCTGCTCCCTGGCGCTGTGTCCTCAGGAAAGCCGGGGCCAGCGGGGGGCCTCTGGAAGGATGCCCACCTCCTCCTCCTTCCGGGAGGTCTCATCTCATTACTGTGGGACCCAGTCTGACTTGTCTCCTCCAGGCCTGCACAGCTGAGCACATCTCTAGGTCGCCTCTCGGAAACCCAGTTCCTGACACTGTCTAAGAGGACAGCGTCTGACGAAGTCCCCAAAACGAGAAAGAAAGCGAGAGGCAGCGCCCCTCCTGAGACCGGGGCAGCCGTTTTAATAACGTTCCCCATAGCGCTGAGGGCAAGCGGAGCAGAGCATAATCTACTCCAATGCACAGGAGGACCTCACTTTGGAAAATTAGGAATCTGCATTGCAAAATTCCCAAGCCCCGGACCTTCTTTATTATAAATTAGAAAAATTTTTTTTCAAGGCAAGTTTTTAACTTGGCAATTTCATTTTTGAAGTTTGGGGAATAAAGTTATTAGCATGGAGGAGGCTTTCTCTCTCCTCCCATTTGCATAGAGCAGCATTCGCTGTATGGGGCGCACCACGTGGATGATGCCCATTCAGCAGCCGGCCCTCAGCCCATTTCAGCCCAACGTGGGGCAACCCGTGATTGCTCGTGAGGATGTCACTCTGTGTTTACTGTGCACTACAGACAGACCTTACGCTTAGAAAGCGCTAAAGCAGCGACCACTGGACACATCCTGTGGCCTGCTTCTTCCTGCTGGGGCTTTCTGATAAGTTCCACCAGGGTCGCACCCCTGCTGCTGTCTAACCCCAGCGCCTCACCTCCCTCAAGGTAGCTGGGCCCTTGGTCCACACAGACCTCCCTGAGAGCAGGGGTGTGTCACCTGGGCGCCTGCAGTTCTATGATGCTTGTCCCATGAAAACATTGTCTTCCGGGAGACATGTGAACTAGGTGTGTGGGCCTCCGCCCACTGTGTTGTATGAATTTCTGTATCACCGCTTCTGTTCTTCCGCATCTCTGCCACCTGCCACCTGGACCCCCGACCCCCAGCCCTCCTGCCACAGCCCAGCACCCCGGTTCTAAGGAACTCTCCAAGTTACTACATTCTCTACTGTCTCTCCCTCCCAGAATCCTCATGGTGACACAGCGGCCCCCTTGCTCCTTCTAGGCATACAGCCCTTATTCATGTGCTCTCTCTCCACCTCTGAAAGGTCCTTCAAGTTCTCCCATTTCCTGTAACATTCATTCCACATGCAACCTTGTTGACCAAGTAAAGTTCTCCCTCTGGTACCTCCACTGGCAATTTCAGGAAACCCTCTGGATTCACCAGCTCCTCCACCCTCACCTTACCCACACACAAAAACCCACCCCCACGCTTCCTCAAACATACACACATACACACTGTTCCTCAGATATCTTTGCCCTTGGCTTGTAGGAAGACAAATCCTGCATCCGGTCTAGATGTGTGTGTATTTAGGGCTCAGTCTTCCTCTGTCTGCGTGGCCCCCCGCACATGGGGCTGCGTGAGCATTAGACTAGAAAGCGGAAACCTTGGTGGGGTCGGCCTCACCCACCAGGCGCAGCCCCTATGAATGAAGGCACTCAGTTGACAGTTTAGGAACAAGTTGAAGGGTAGGTAGGTAGGTGCGTATGTAGCATGGCTTGATGGTGGGTGATATCGAAAGGGTTTGGCAGTTCCTCAAGGATGTGGCCTCATTGTTGACAAGAGGGAGGCGGGGCATACAGCCAAGACTTCAAAGCTGTCCGGGGAGCTCATGCCAAAAGTCAATTATCTCCTTGGGACCCTTGGGCAAAAGCTGTGTTCATCCATCCCCTCCACCCCTCTGCAGCCCACGGATGAGGAGAATGGTGTCCAGAACCCCAAGAAACTGTGCTTGGAGATTGGGGGTCAAGGTGATGCTATCCTACCTTCTCTGTCACAGGGAGGCTGAGCTGGGCCAGCATGTTAGGGAGGCCAGACCGCTCCATTCCTCCAAGTGCCTCCTCACCCTCCCTATCCCATCCCAGCGCCATTCCCACTCCGGTGGGTCGGTGGGTCGGGAGCAGCCATCCTGTGGAAGCTGGACCTTTGATCAGTCATTGGGGTTCCCATGCTGATTTCACAGCTGGATGCAGAGGGGGTGGCGAGGGCCCCCTGGCTGTGAATGGCCCCTGCCCGGGCCTTGCAGCTGCGGCCACAGAAGCTGGTTCAGATATTTTCACACTTTGCAGCCCTCTCATCTCTTTAAGGTCTGGAGCCCCCTGCCTTGCAGGCCCTCTGCTCGGCTGCCTGTGAAACTCATTGGCTTTGCAGCAGTGCAGTCAATTCAGCAGCTTTGAAGGTCCCCCTAAGCCTTTTCTGCGGCTGTGATTGACAGCTCTCGTGCCCCTGGGGGCAGCACCCCAGGGACCATCTGGGCGAACTGCCTGCCCT